AGAAATTAGTGAAGTGAATGAATAATATTTATGATTAATTTACTTGTGATATCGAGTTAGATAACTGTTAGTTAGATAACTGTGATAATTATATATAATGGTTAATTGTTTTAATTTGTTACTTTTTTATGCCTGATAACACATGGCTTAGGTACTATTCGCTGGGTGCGCGATGACAGCGCCAACTAGCGGTCGGCGGACTCGGCGGACCTTGGTACGTCAAATAGTTGACTGTCATTGTCTTTACGAGGAGTAAGCAGTGAATAAAGCATGAAGGTGTAGGTAAAGATGGAGTACACAGTACACACTTGAAATACCTACTTGAATTTTTATTTCTCTTCTACTGTCTGAGGTCAGTTTGTTTCAATTTCTGTAGTACACTAGAAAAAGAGATCAGACCTCAGTTTGCCTCAGAGAATAGGAGCGAGAGTATTTGACTCGAAACTTTTATTCTAAGTGTGGGCTCCATATTTACCTATAACTTCGTGGAATAAAGTCTGCCAAAAGTTCCTTTTTTAGCCACGGTGCGCGCTGAGATCGATTTCACTGTCCCCACCACCCACTTCGCACCCAGCGAATTAGATGATCAGAATGCAGGTTGCATTGTAGATTTTGTATAATTTTGTTCTATTATTCAAAAGATTTATTAGTATAAGACTGATTGGTAATTGTGATAATGGGGTAGACGACTAATTTTTATTTTAATGTCCGTCTGATAGATTATTTAAAAACATTAGACACGTATTTTTTATTTTCTCACAGAAACGAATAGTTTCGAAGATATATTGATTTGAAATGTCGCGTGACGTCACTTCTCAGTACATTTTATACTAAGGAATGACGTTTTAGCCCCCACTCCTAAACTTTGATTCGTTTTATCTAAGTATTGTTTTATTATACGACAAAATAAAAAAATACGTGTCTAATATTTTTTCATTACCTAACTTACGGACTAATTATATTTTTAATTTTCATACCCTGTCATCATCCCCATTATATACAATGAAACTTGGAACAGGGGTAGATTATCTTGAATAACACTTATGCTACTTTTTATTCCAGGGGAAAGCGGGCGAAGCCGATGTCAGAAGCAAGTATCTAATATGTTCACAACTCGTGTGATTCATAAATAAAGCTAGCACGGACCCGCAACTTAAAAAGTTAATAACACGTCGTTACTCCGTGATCACTTATGTTCTTACAAACTTTGCCTCGCTCGTTTGTTTGGGGGGAAAACGGTTTTCGTGATAGTTCCACGCACGATGGTACAAAAGTTTTGTATTCGTGGTGATCCAATGTTGAATGTCTTGCGAAGTTTCAATGAAGGAATTTGTGTCTACACTTCTGATTGTAGATAAACCTTACCTACTTGTACTTAATGGAGTAGGCAAAGACAACAATAGAACATCATATAACGATTTCTTTTTTACATAAACAATTTCTCTGTATGGCCCACTTATATATCTATGGTATGGCCATAGAAAACGATTGTATGTATTTTTTAAACGACTTCAAAAAGAAGTAAAATGTTGCTTATACTTTAACCTGTATGTACCTGTGTTTGTTTGTGAGCGAAAATCTCGCGATTGGCTGAACCAATTTTCATGCGGTGTTCAGAAGAGTGTTGTTTGGTCCAATTAATGGGTTAATTAACAGACTTCAAAAAAAGAGCGCATTGAAGACAGTTTTTAAACGTTGTTTATGAAATAAATATTTGTTTGACTGTAAATTAGATTTTAGAGTCATATGTCAAGCTATTTTGTATCTAGTCATTTCTACATATTTATAAGCATAGTCTTTAGAAAACCTTGATACGAACTTACTACAACACATTCCAATCAATAAAAGTCAAATATTATTTACACACTTTATTGAATTAACATAATGAAAACAAACATTAATATCATATTGAAATGAAACTCATGACAGTATACTGTAACCGTGAGTACAACATTTATATTCATAACATTTAATCAATTCAATACACAAAACGATTAGATATGTAGTACTTACACTGATACTCGAAAGATATGACACGTGAACATCGAGACATGTGAGAACATAATGTAGATTACATTTGCATCTGTAGTACATATAGAAGCAGTTAAGAATAAACCATTTATTAAGAGACTTGATAAAAATATGTGCAAGTTATTGTTTAATATTACACAATGCACATTCCCTATCTATGTGGCGACATCCGGACAAACGAACGCTACATGAATTTATCCGCACAACCAATTTATTACTACAATAAGCTCTCACTCTCAACACTTCAACGTCCCCTCTACACCAAATCCATCATATCTCGTCTTGTTGGTAGCTGCCCATACCTTGTCATTGAAAACCTGCGAAATACAATCAATAGAATTGATTCCTACAGGGAAGCAGGGATTCAATACTAGATTGCCGCATGTCGCCGACTGTGAATACAATGTCCATCAATTGTTTCTAGTTTAATCTAACTTTTAATTAGGTACCGGGTATTGCATGGCATATTATGATGTGGCATTCAGCGCCATAAATATATCAACATTGAACTGCAGTCGCAGCATCAATAACGTTACAATATATTGACTAGATATTAGTCGCGTTAGAGATCACTATACACAAATATCCAACCGTCGCGTCGTCTACTTCCCAACACTATAATGTTAGTATATTTATGTCATTGACAAAACCAATAAAGTCTATGTATACGAAATAACATTTGTAGAACAATAGACTTTTAAAACGTTTACTAATTATAGTGAATAAAAAAAATTAAATGCTTATTGAAATAACAGCAGTGAAACAAAAACATTCGATATCTTTCTTGTGTTTCTGATATTACAATTCTTAACTATACTCAGTCAATAATTACTATTAACTTTAATACTAAACAGGTGTCGAAACTGTCAAATGAATAACCTACGCACATACACAATGGGAGAAATAAGATAGCAGATCTAATTTGATAATTATATAAACATACACTGAGCAGTATGTTCGTATACTCGAAGAATAATATGAACGAAATAGAAATAATTCATTCCGCCATACTTATTAATGTCTACAGACATTCAATGTGAAGGTTAAAATGAATAGGTATAAATACTTTCTAAGGATATTTAGAATACATACAATTGGACTATAAGTTGTGTGAAAAGATGATTCTCTGTATCATGGTACCCTGTTCACTACGAAAGTGTAGTACGTGTGTGAACAATGTATATTTTGCTTAATTCGAGTACTGATACAGATCAAGCGAGATTATTGTATGATGTATATTGTATTACAATTACACAACCTTTTACCCGATTGTGATCAACTTGTACATATATTATAATAGGGATACATAGCAAAATATTGAGTTAATGTAAGTACATCGAATGTAATAATAGAAATATAATAATGTCATCAATAAAATCGCCAACCAAGTGGTTCCATCGTAAGCATTTAGAAAATATTTAAATATAGTAATGTATTAATGTCAAATTTTAATATTATTAAACCGTATTAAATTCAAGGGATTCTCGAAAACGGTGCAATAAGAACTTCAAATACATGTGCTAACACGAAAATTGTAAAGAAATTCACTATTACATTTATAAATATTTGCTAAGATTGAATGTAATTACACTATACAGCGCTGTCTGACCCTGTCGATAAAGGCTATATAATTCATAACACGATCCGAAAGAAGTCCACAATCGTACAACTTACAGTTTAAAATAATTTGAAGAAAATCTAAGAACAAAAGGCACTAACTTTTAGTTTAGTGACTTAAATATATTACGAACATTTGAAACATACAAATAACGAGGATATAACTGATATCTGATTACACAGTAAATAATAATTAAATCTCATACAATATGAGGGACCATGGACCGACTGTGTCGTTATGAGACCTCGACATAGCTTCAGCTATGTGTGTGTATAATTGTTTAGCCTTGCTTTATACTTCTGATGGCACAGCGATACTCTCAACATTACCTAATAAAACATTCCTGTATATAACACGCAATCCAATAAAATCATCGACATATAACCGTATGTAACTTATTCAATATGTTATATGGCACGATACGCACTATGTAGAAAGTCAGAGAAACAAAAGAACAAGTAAATAAGAAGTATGTGATAAGAATAAGTAATATAATGTTACGTATCTTGCCTATGACATATTTGGTGCGACTAAAATAAGTAATGATGCTTCTTGCATTAAATATAATATATACTTACGTAGTACATAAAGCACACTAAATTATAATATTGCTTATCGAACAACAGAAAACAAAGTAAACTTCATTTCGCCTAGCTTACATCAACATTGACAAAATTGAGCAAATCAAAATAACAATACGAATCATAATAGTAGCTATAATTATATAATGAGTATAATAAAGATTATATCGATTGCTGTGATTACTATAAATTACAACTGAACGTAATAATACGAGGATATAATTAAAAATTATCACTAGTTATTATTTTTATTCGCTAATAATTTAAAATTGCATTGACCTAAATTTTTATTTAATTATCATTGACAACACCGACGAATTGATACTTCCTTTTACTTGAAAGTATTTGCGTTACAATAACCTTTCAGTTTATATAAAATGTGAGTCGAGGCGGGCGCGCGCCTCGATGTTCCGTCTCCAACTAGAAGCGTGCTCTACTAACTACTACCTGCATCACTATCCGATAACGCGACATACATCCTGACGTAGCTCTTGCACAAAAGTGCAACCCCGAACGTTAATCACAGCTATGAAATCTCTTCTCTTTAGTAAATTTCCTTTTTTTTTTCAAAATTATCTTTTCACAAATTTATATCTATAGAATAATTCTATTTAACCTGTGTGACACTTACTTTACGAAGCTCTATACATTGTCTTAATTGCAATTTAATAGACTATAAATAATTGATTTTATCAAAAATTTTATTGCTACTTTAATTTACTTGAAGCACACAAAAATAGTTAAAAACTTTGAGAGAGAGCGAACAAAAATAAACTTTTCATTATCTTCACATAACGCAAATACCAATAGAAAACAAAATTTTGACTAGCATTATACAATTTCTTAATTTTTTCTACTTTCAGAACAATTTGACTAGCATATCGATATCGACCGACGATTTTAACGAAATACGAACTAATTTTCAATACTATCGACGTCACATTAAAATACACATAATTATGTAAATAAATTTTAGACACAACTTTGGCACAATCATTAATTACTGAAATACTGCAGGGGAAGACTTGGGGAATATGTTTTCGGGATATGTTTCGAGAATATTTACTCTAACCGAGAAATCTTATAACTAGGGTGCAAAATTAATAAGTAGTGGATAATACAGTAATCGCTTACGTAATTCTATAACTTGATACTTTTACTGTTATATAGCATGTCAAGAAATACATGTGTAGTGCACACGATATGCCTTAGTTACAAGTTGCAGTTTATATGTTTGGCACTCGATCCGTCGTGACCGGCACGTTGGCACATCTACTTCCACAGATAATGACATGTCACTGAAACGCTTCTCAATACAGTGGTCCTATAGTTATCTTACTCTACGTTAAACTAAGTGTATTTTTTTTTTACTTTTTTTGGAAATATTTGATTACCACAGGACTATATTTGATCTAAGACTAAATACAATGAGCAGTCTGGAGAGGGTGATAAAATAATTCAAATCAACCGTTCTACATTACATCACTAAACATTAACTACTCTCAGAATAATTTAGCATAAATCCACAACATTATTAATGTTAAACAAACTTTAACAATCTTTGGCTTTGATCCCTAGACCAATATTAATTATTCGACTTCAATTTCCCAGTAGCCGATGTATCCTACACATGTGTATACGTTAGAGATCTTAATAGTTCAAATGTTAAATAAATTAGAAGACTATCACATTTAGCAACACTATTTTTATACCTAACGTCTTTTTTGTGATATTAGACGATTTTAAATGATATACTGAAATGTTATCTTCTCCTCTGTCTTCGTTTTAAAGTAAGTTACTTAAAGGATTTGATCCCATCGGTTTCGTATCGCCGCGCCGCGCCCGAGCGCCGCTACTGTTACTGTAACCCCCTAATTCTCAGGTAATTACGATTATTTTATTTACAAATATTGTCTTTAAACCCTCTCACTCTGTTCGCTAATCTAACACTACGCTACGTCAGCGGGTCCGAGGTCGATTGTAACGCATCTACACCTATCTAATGTACGCCGACACTCGATTTACCTTAGTTTGAACATTATTACTTGTGGTCGGTACTGATCATAATGGAAAATAAATCCAATAGACAATTGATATACTCAACCGCTTAAATCCATAGTAAATTCGATCAGCTTAGCTAACTCCAGTGTTATAAATTCATAAGCCGTGACCAGTGAACGAGACAAATCATTATAAATATTTAACTATTTAAAATAAGTGTTTTGTGAAGTTATATTACAAGCTCACTGTTCACGGATTAGCAAAAATTTTAAAATGTCAGTCGTAAGTTTTCTTTTATAATAATTCATATTCAAACCCCTTCCCCAGATCTCACTGATATATAAACCACTGACATGTTCTGCTCCAATCAATCAAATACAGTGGAGAATAAATATAAGAATATCTAAAATACTTATAAACTCGTAACAAATGTAAACATACATTCAGCGTGGATCTAATGTCTTGCCAATAGCGTCACCTCGTACTAGAGAGATTATTTTGGTCACGTTCATTTGAAGAAGTATATCGGAGCCAGAGTCCCGTATTGCGGCTGCATCAGAATGGTGCGTTCCGTGTGGTACATCTTGTACGCAACGCCGGGATTCTGGCCGCGGAGCCCCATTCAATGGATCGGTGCCTTCACGATGTGGTTCGGGGCGATGTAGTGGTAGCCCGGCAGGGGCAGCCCGGCCGTCTCCATCGTGATCCTGGAACACATCACACGCACATTAATCATTCGCCCTCGCAACAAACTAAGTCACATCGGTCAAACAATCATCAAGTGTCAATTCCATTCATTGGGACATAAACGAGTTATTTTCGTGTTGGGTCAAAATATAACAATCAAAGAACAGCTTGGATGGAAATGGAGTTCATAGGATGAAGCAGTAACAGGTTGAGACGTAAAGCCCGTTCATAGAAACAAGTAAGAATAAAACGGAAACACTAGGATTTAAATTAAATGTAAGGAAAACTCTTACCAGGACATTGGATGATCCAGCAGTAGGATAGTACACGATGGAGCAAAGTTCTGCATGTCGGGTATTCACGGGAATGGTTGGTGCCGTGGGTGGGCAGGATTGTGGCGTGGGTTCTCCAAGGAAGCTTTGTGTTCGGAACCTTAACTATACAAGTTACCTGCACTTAATACTAGACCGACGACTCTGTTAGACAAAACTGTTATCAATAAAAAACACACGCGTACTATTATTATTTTTATTAAGTATGTACTTTAAAACAATACACTTTTGCTTAACGATTCTAGCGAGTAATATAAACCTGAAACGAATAAGAAAACGTTTACTACCTTAAAATTAACATGATTTTAATTACAAATAAAAAGTTATATTGACAGCTAAATAATCTGCATTCCCTACGGAACTACATTTAGAAACATACGAATTGGACCTCAATTTTAAATTCGCACTAATTAATAAAATAATGTAGTGACATTCCAACGCCATTACCTAACTAATCTGCTATAGCCTCGCTATATCTAACGTAACGGCGCTGTCTGCCTTATACTTAATAAGGTCACCTAAATATAAAACAGTCCAAACTACTTATAATAATCTTGAGAATCATAAGTAGCTATAAATGTATAATAAATAATAAAAATATCCAACATTCCCATTCCTATTGGAATATATTTGGCGCAAGTAGAAATGACTCATACAACTACAAACGAATCACTTTATTGATATTTTAACAAAATTAAAGTCGTACACAGACCATCCGACAGCGTTATAAAACTATAAATTATAACAATATCATGCATAACACCCATTATCTATATACACCAATCAACTTATTGCTTTGCTCCCCGACAGCTAACGTGATTGGCTGATCATAATATAAACAACCAATCAAATTAGTCGCCAGCATCGTCAACCAATCATATTGCGTAGCATGTTTCTGTTACAAAATTTATAGTTTTACAAAACTGAACTAAAAGTACTCATTGATTTCTAAAATGCCTCGAAAATTAAGGAACAGTAACTTAGCAACGGATAAAGTTGTAAACTGAGATAGTCGAAACTAAAAGTGATTTTTTTATTATTATTAATAGTTTTGTCAAAAATTCTAATTTGATCTTCCATTTAAAATGTGTATACAGAGGTATTGTCATCAAACAATACTTCGCGATAATGTTTAAATGAATGTGTACAAATGAGGTGAAATACAATTTAATACCTACATACCGACTTTTTATTCGATTCAGTGCGCTTTTTTGTCATTCAGCAATCGATTCGATAAATCAAAATGACAATGAACGATTTTAGTCAAGACTTATAAATAATAGAAAGAAGAAAAGCATGATCTAAGTGCATGCCTCATATTCAATTAAAAGGAAAAACACAATGAATAGCTGATGATGTCATAGAAAAAATATTGTAAATATGCCAGACGGTGACAATCATTTGGCATACCTATTCGTAATATTTAATATCGATTCGAATCGATTTGATTCAGTAATCGATTGCGTTAGGTAAACTGTCATTTTACTGAAACGAATAAAAAGTCGGAGTACAAGTAGCATTCGTTTCTAGAATCGTCTAAAGAAAAGAAGTATCGTTTGATGTACTCTCGTGATTGTGACACCCTGTATTTTGATTCCAAATAGACATTTCATTACATCTGAACGCAAAGCACTCTGTATATTCTACAGCCATTAGCTTCTACGTACTTCTACTATTGTCAAGATCCCTAGTTGTCGTATTCGTAAATATTTCACTTTCCCGTCCTAAGTCCATCGTGTATCGTTACATATACTATGCACTTAGTATTACCATCGTGATTTTATTTCATTGTAATGATGATATTATACTTCCCGGATACTTTAATCTTAATTTAATAGTTATCAAAAACGACTTTTAATATATTAGATAATGTTTTTTACTTCGTCGAGGTATTCTTTCGTCATATAAAAGCTTTCTCTAGCGCAGTCATGCTTTTGAAATACATCAAATATTTTGATCTAATTTAAATAGAAAATCAATAATTGTAACAAGTATTTAGTATTATTTATATTGAAAGAGGTTTAAATACTTTTAAATCACCAAATAAATGTTGAAATAAGAGAGAATACGATGTTAAAGAAAGAGTCATAATTATGATTAATTTTTTTAGTAACAAAAATGTTTAAATCTTTCAATACAACGAATAAAGTAAAAAAGATGAAAACAGATTTCTCAAAATGTTATACTGTTTTTATTTACTCTTAGAAATAATATTGAACGATAATGATGATGAATGACTGTTAGAGGGCGTGGCGTTACCACCGACAGAGGTGACCGAGCGACACCGAGTTCCTCGATACAGCCTCGCACCAGGCGCGGGCTCCTACAGTGACGACACTAAGCTTTACTCGGCTCGTACATATCGTAAAATCTAACGATGACAATTGTAGTTACATGATTTGAGAGTAACACGAATAAGACGAAACGACGGCGATCAGTTGGCGGCATCCCGGTACGCCGTGCACCGCTAGTAGGGGTTGTACTTGTTGCGGTCCTTGGAGGACTTGGCGGGCGCGTCCTCGTCCTGGCGCCGCGAGTACTTGTGCGCGTGCGAGCGGTGCACGCCCGTGGTCTGCACGGGCCCCGCGGCGGGCGCCAGCAGCTCCGACAGCCCGCCCAGCGCCGACAGCGAGCTGAGCGCCCCGAGCGCCCCGGACTTGCTGAGCAGCTGCGCCAGCGGGATGGCGGACGCGAGCGGACTGGGCGACGTGGAGCTGCCGGAGCCGCTGGTGCTACCCTCCAGATTCGCCTTCTGTAGCTCCACACTGCCGGAGCGGGACAGGAATGTTGTACAGGGTCAGGCGACCTCGGGGCCTATTCGACTGCACGCGGCACCGGACTATACGACGCTGGCCCGAGTTTTAGTGAACGGTAACTATACGTTTTATTTGATTTGATTATTATACTTTGATGTCATTTTCATTGCAACTTTAGTGTCGGCATTGTGCTAGTTGCAACTTCTTCTGAAATACATCTATTTATATGACAGTGACGTGTAAACAACGCCACATTAAAATGTACATTTGATTTAAATGCTTTGGTTAACAAGCATTCATAAAAATAGCGTAATGTGAAGGCATAAGGTAAGAACGCATTTAAATAATTGTAATTACTAGTAAAGATGAGATGAATGAGGAAACTGAATGAAGTGCAATTTATTATAAACGACACAAAAGCTTTTCCACACTTTCATGCGTCTTATGTGTTAGAAAACAAATAATTAATTTATTGCGTTCACAACAAAACAAAAATAAAAAATCCTCTTCACTACTCGGGTCAGGCGCGTTTATCTCCAAAAACAATTTAATGAAAACGAATACGATATCGAAACGGCCCATAAGGTAAGATAAATCAGAAGGAATATTGAGGATAATAAAAAAAAATCGACCTTAAGGGTGGACTAGGCAAATTATGGGGCATGAACGGGCAAAATAATACTCCGAGGAGTTTGGATGGATATTCTGTAGGCAGGGAAGATAAAATGGTTGTTATTAGTGACATGATCTTACCTCATGTTGATGAGATACTGGGCCAGTGCTACGGAGTCAGGGTTGCCAGAGATAGTGATGGTTCGGTCAGTGCTGCCACCCTCTCGTTCTTCGCAATTAGATATCCGGATCATAGCTCCGGATATTTGTCGGATCTCTGCGATCTTGGTACCTCCCTGAAGATGGTGATTTTTATGTTATACGTTAAATGCAATAAGAAAGCGTATTTTAGGAATTCCACTAGTTTCCGACTCTCTTTTTGCTAAATTTTTATCTTCAGCTATGCCCAGAAAATGAGCAGTAAGAATAACTTTCTCAAACAAAAAAAGTATGTACCATCGTGTAATACACTACAAAAGCCTACCTATCAGAATAAAATTTTAGAACTGAGGTAATAAAACACGAGTGTACTATAATATAAACGTACCTTTCCGATGATGCAGCCTATCAATTCATTGGGTACTGTCATCTCATGTGATTGTTGATTGGTGGCGGGCTGGTTGCGCGACTGGTTTGATGTGCGCAGTTGTGACCCAGCTAAAGCCGCTAACGCTGGAAGAAATTACAATCAATATTATTAAATACTCATTATAAATATTATCTTACATCTACAAATTCATTCGCGAATTGTGATTTTATAAGTAATTATACAGAGAATGGTTATTGAACCGTACTTATGTGACCATAGGTAAGATGACATGAATTTGGTAAACATATAGACATATAGTTTAGTACACTATTAGCTGGGTAATTTTTCAAAAACATTTATTTAACATATCATTAAACTCACGCGTTGTTAAACTGTCAAGCACCAAGCGGTCACCGGTGACCGCGACCTATTGTTCTTTAATTGTGTCTATAAAACCGGTACTCGACGAGTTAAGTAACTTTCTAACATCGATATTTTTATTGCTTTACTTTAGCTTATTTTTTAAAATCACGTTTTGTATTTCAACCAACGGAATTGTTAACTTTGGCTTGAAGATGACTTTGTTATTTTTTTTCTCGAAACACACACCTACTTTCTGCATACTAAATCAGTCTTCCTTTCTTACCTACATATCAAAGAACTTAGCTTACTGACTGTACGCAACTGTGCGTGGGAGGAAAATATGATACAGGAACTAAAATTATTGCATAATTGTTAAACTACAATGGAAAGTAAGTACCATTTCATTTATGAAGCGTATATTTGAAATATTAATGCAATGGTTAAGTTTAATACTAGTGATGGGACTATTGTTTAATTATCTAATTAAACCATTACCAAGCAACACTAAAGCGATTCATTCAAGTGTAAGTAGACTAAAAAAACAATTGCATGATTTGAGTAATATCGTGGATAATACTATAGTTACTAATGTTATCGATTAGTTTAGTATTTAGATAAATAAATATAAAGCTAATGAAACGCTTCAATGCTGTGCAATGATTATAAGGTCCTACTTTCTTTATTATAAACTTTTTGAAGGATGTGTTTAAACTATGTTAATAACTATATTAATAAGCGCGTCGGCGTGCAATAACACCTATAAAGTATTACTTTAAGTGTTTATCGAACAATTTCAATGACCTATATTTCAGTAGATTTGAAAACTACAGGATATAATGAGACGGTGAAAACAGGACCTTATTTAACAATTAGGCTGGTTTTAGTGCAGTGCTGACGGTACGCGCACAGTCAGCGCTGATTGGACGAGATATATGAACTTCTAGGAAGCGTTTTTGACTAGCGCGTAGCTATCAGCGCGCGCGGTGGTCAGCGCTGACTACCAAGTTTACAAATCTCGGCCATCAGCGCTGAAGGTGAGCGTGCCGTTAACGCGACACTAAAACCAGCCTAAATGTAAATAAAAGCATGCAAAATAAATAATGTTAGTATGGATTTAAAAATAGTAATACATACTTAGGCTCTGTTTACCTGCTGGATTAAGTCCGGCGGCATTAGCTGGCCCTAGGCCGCCGAGACCTAAGGCGGCCAGGCCGGCCAGAGGTGACTTAGCCAGACCTCCCATCTAGAAAAAAGAAAAAAGTTTAGTATTGTGTTTATTTTATCTATGTTTTCATAAGCACAGGTTAATATTTGATTGTGTATCAGAAGTTAGATCTATGATAGTTTCAATTATATGCAAAAAGTTCTTTGAAATGAAATACTATGACGTATTGTCGAAAATTAGGATAATGTTGTTAAAAATAAAGATATAAATATTGGTGTTTGGGAAAATATCCTTTTACGGAATAATTTAACTGAATACAATCTATTTTAAAGTGTACTAAGTCCTTCTTCAGAAACATAACCATCATATCCAAATTAACCTGCGCTTACACAAGATTAATAACTTCCCAATCCAAACGTTTCAATCTACAATTTCACATTGCGTTCCGAACAAATATTTTAGTAAGTACATACTAAAATAAATGTGAATAAATATACAATTTGGAAAAGTATTATCTTTATGTGTACATACTACAAAATAAGTATATTTTACAAGACAATACGCGTTTCATACAAGGAAGAAGAAATCGTACTACACAGTGTGATACTTCATTCTCTGAGAATATTTCTAAACAAATTCCATAACAGTTTACTAAATATATATTTTATTTATATAACAATAAGCTCCAGCTGCTTGTTTTCGTCTTCTCTGACATAGCCGGGATGGGATCGCTGGATAGGGTTACCTGGGTAGAAACTAGAATTTACAACGTAATACCAAGTCTAGGAAAATTCGCAATGTTCTCCTAGTAGACGAAACGTATGATCAATTCAGTGTTCAAAACAAAACTACAAAACCAAACACTTAAACTAAACATACTGATAGTCTAACCAATCAATTCAGATTGGAAAGGCAAGGATTTGCGAATCTTCATAGTGATATCGGAAAAAAATGAAATCCACATCGTGAGTAGAATGGTGCTGCCCATAAAATGCACCTTGAAATTAAACAAAAAGGCAAACTTGATTGTACTCTAATATAAACTTGTATAACGTTAAGCCATGCGCGACCATGGTTAATCACCATTATTATTTAATCGTGTGGAAAATAAAAGAAAAACGATGGAAAGGCAAGGCAGAGGCAAAATAAGGAGAGGTGCAAGTACAGGAACGTTTGTAACAATTTCAACATCGCTGATAGGTGCGCGAGCCGTATGAAGTACATTACGCTCGTATCTCGGCAATGCCAGAAAACAAACAGATAAAGCTTTGAATGTGAATGTTTTATCACTACACGACTATAAATAAATACATTCGGTTCAAAAGTGCTAAGATTACATTCTAAACTACGGATCGATACATTATGGAAAACATTGGAATGATACAATGGGGGCACGTGCAACAAGAAAGAAATACCTAAGAGTTTCAAGCGTATAGTGCAAGAGAGCAGCGTAAATAATACGGAGGTCATTCCTAGAGTCCACATCACCGGGGCACTACGACTATAGTACAGGGTTAATTCATGGCCGCTACGGGGAATCGACACCACACATCCAATTCGAAGGGATTCTGGGGCAGCACCAATCACATAACGTCACTCAGTCCACACAGCCTCATAGAGAACTATTACTTGTTTTAAGGTTTCACTAGAAGATCTTCAGTTGTACTAATGGGAAGTAGAACATTCTGGTATAGTCTACGGGGTTAGGTTTAGCATAATAGTGTTTCATCGAATTGGTTCAGCATTCATTAAGTACGTGAAGATCTTACAAGTTGTTGCTCCCATCGAGACAGCGCACCGTGTTTGGCGAGATTATGTCTGCCCTACATGCATGATTTGTATATGGAGAATGAAATTTACTTATTAATAGCTCGTTTTTCGGTTCATCACAAAACGAAAACCGCGTAAGGTGACAATGACGATAAGTTTGGGGCTATGCATAGTGGGGCTAGCATGTATCGGTGCCCTGTCCCGCGGGTCCCTAGGAGGCCGGCGCGCACTCACGAGGTGGTGGTCGTGCAGCGGCGGCAGCAGATGGTGCGGCGGCAGCGCGCCCACGAGCGGGGGCTTCACCTCCAGCACGGGGAACACTGGCGCGCACACCGCCTGCGCACACCACCACTAGCACCGCAGTACAAGCACTCCGCTTTTTCGCCGATATGACTAAGGCTTCGCGAATCCCTATCCTAGCAATTTTATCGACATCGTAGGCGAAATACGAGGTCCTAAATTATCATTAACATGACGAACTATTTGTACCTTATTTATAAAAATGAATAATTTCCGATTGATTTAGATTTTAGCTTCAGATTAATTTAGACTATGAGGACAACGTATTCCCATATCATAGTTCAAAGACTGTATTTTAGATCTACAATGATTAGCAAATTTCTGCACAAATAGCGTATACCCATATCACTCATGTTGGATAATTAATTCGCTTTTACTAACCATTACTACTGTCAATTTATTCGATACTGAATCGAAACTAAACGCGATACATACTGTTGAGTTTAAGACATCACTGAGTATACATTTAAACTTTAGAGAAGTGATAATGAGAATGAAAACTGTAGTAGCAAGTTTGAAGTTCTATCTAATTTGTTATATCGTTCACAACGACAAAAAAGTTGAGTGCATTTAGTAAAGAAGACACGACGCTGAAGATATTGTTGGTTACATTTTTTTTGTAAATGATAAATAACTTTTGAATTACAATTCGATTATTATTTAGAAGAATAAGAACAGAAGAAGTTTTTCAGAAAATTAAGTATCTAAACATTCTTTGCGAATTGCAAAACGGTGTAAAAAAATTAGTAAAATCTTTTAGAACGTTGTTCTTTACAGTATCATCTGATATCAATTGTATTATCTTTTGTGTAGGTATTTTTAATAGCTTTATAAAGACTATGCTGTAAATGCTTTATTGAAAAAGTTCTTCTATTCTAATCTGTTTTACAAGTGAACAGTATTACCAGCTAAAATTAATCAGTGTTGCCAATTAATCGTTAATTAATATTTTAAACAATTACAACAACATTTTAGTACTCATGGCGTTTTTGAAATATTTTTTTAGAATTACTAAAGACTTGTACTTCACAAATAATTTTGTTTTCCTATAGTAGGATCTGATATGTAGTTTATTACTTTTTACCTACAATAAAATATGTTAGCTAATAAATTAGTCGCAATAAAGATATGTTTATTTATACAACTTACATCTTGTGCAGGTACAGCGTAGTTGCCTTGGATTGTGTACGCCTGTCCGCCGGCTAGTATGACTGGGCCGGCCACATTTGGTTTTGGTCTGTAGGGAATTGTCGCGCCTTTTGGTGGGCTCTGAAATAAATGGGATATGTTTAAACTTGTGGCGCTAGTGTAGTTTTTAAGTTTTCGAAGATTTTTTGTAAATAATATTATAAGAAAATTGTAAGATAACAATGATTACTAAGGATTATTTCCTTCAGTGGCGCCAACTGGTGAGTGCGGATTCGAACAAATTCTACTACTGAATTGATATTTTCATTATTATAGGTGTTACTTTTATGATTCTTTGAGCTCCTTACCTCTAGCATAACACAGCAGATGTGATAAATGCATTGTGTAATAGCGTCGCAAGTCCCACTGATGGTCACGGCTCGCTCTGTTGAGTTTGGTAGCATTTCACTCGCCACCTGGAACAAATGACATTTATTAGTTTGAATATTCTTGTTATATGAACACAATGGGATCTATCGTTTTTTTGGACATCAGGTGGTGGAAATGTAGCAAGAGTTTTTTTTGTGATTGATTACACAAGCTAATTCGCAGAAAATACGAGATTTTCAGAGTTTCAGCGCCCTTTGGTGAGCAAAAATACAGTAGCAGGGTGCCACTTGAAAATCAGCGTTGGGCAGGAACGCTCAACTATATGCTGAGGTGGAGGCCCTTTTGACATGATCACACGCACTATAATAGTACTATTATATTATTTATATTTTGTTTTTTTTGTATATTTAATGTATCGTTTTATCAAAAACGTTGTATTGTATCGTATTGTATGATCATTATTTTGTTGATTGTTGTTCTTTCTTTACTCTTTTGTTATTAATATTTTGTATTTATGTATTTTAAGAATCTGTATTTTTTTTTATAATCTTTGTTTTGTGTGCCAATTGCCAAATAAATGTTTTTTCTTTCTTTCTTTTTCTAGCTCCCATTAAGTAAATACGGAAAGAAAGATACAGAGCTGACTGAGAAATGATCTTGAATGATAACGAAAACTGTATTTGAGAGACAAAAGTTAAGATATACACAAATATTCCACTCGCAAACACAGTGTTTTTATTTTGTATTCCAATAAAAAAAGATCAAGTCCAGCTCGATGGTATTAACATTAATTATTTATATACAACCTTGAATCAGTAGCAAACGTGTTTAAAGACGTACTGTTATCAATTGCACTTTTTCAATTTCAACATACAAATACAAACTTAATGGTACATTGTTTGTCTCAAAAAAGTATGTCGATTTAAATGTTAAACATATTTTTACTAGTTGTAACTCGCATACAAAAGTCTTGTCGATCTTGGCGATCAGTACCTTTAGCCAAACGCCACTTTAGCGCTTGTCTACAGAGAGAGTAGAAAACTAAATGTATAGGGATGACACAGACAAGTGTCAAAATTTACGTCAATTCCATATAATTTGGTTTTCTATTCTACATGTAGACAAGCGCTAAATGGCATTTGGCTACAGCTGCAGGTCCGAATTAGGACAAACCCAACAATACTTTAATCAACTCGATAATGAAATAGAAACCCTTTGTTCGACAGATCCACTTATAGAATTGAAATATTCGCAAACTTCGTATTACTAGTTCATCGTGTAGGTCATGGCCACAAAGAATGCAAATGCAAAGAATTCAGACAACAGCAAGTCAAGTTACTCCAACATCACAAACTCCAATAGATTTTCGAGTTCATGACAACACAATAAAGTTGAAATTATAAAACTCCATGGTAAGAGGAAGTGGGCGAACCAACGCCTGCGCATTACCTTAACTTAAATGTTCTTGAACTTGTATTCAAAACAGTTTATCTCCAAGCCTCGATCGATTTAATAAACTATTCAAGTTTCCGGCCAATTTAAGGCTAAGGTTGCTCGATTTGTTAACATGCAAAATCGTCTTATTCAGAGCAAATAACTTTAGTGTTAATAAATCTATTGCTTCAATTTTAATTGCTTGAGATTTTGTACAAGGAACGCTATGTATATTTACAATCATTATTATTCTAATTTAAGTAAAATAGTGTGAAAATATATTTAGTTTCTTGATAGATTACTCTAAATCCACTGAGCAGATTTTGATGATGTTTTGAATATTGATGAAACACCAGGAGATGATAAATTAATTGCCAAAAACCACACTGGTAGGTGGAGCTTGGAGTGGATTTTATTTTTGATGAAATCTATATTGCACCGTTTGAAACCATGAAGAAAAACCAGTATATAAATGACATATAGCCTTTTGTTTAGAAACCTACTATTGTCACCTCTACGTGTATTTGAGCTTCGTTTTATTATTACAACAAGAGAATGACGCCGAATGACTCATTTATACGACTACTCGTTTTTAGTGAGGTTACCATCATTTTACCTTATTCAGTGTCACGTTCCGGTTGAGATCGCCTTAATATGGTGTCCACCATTTCTGGTTTATGCCACGCACTTCCTCTAGTTTCATATTTCTGACTTTTAGGCTTTTAATCGCTATAAAATAATATCCCGTCTTTTGATTAGGCTGAAGTGAAGATAAAAAAAGAAACACTCATAGTCCGTTAGCCGAACCTATTATGGACACGCGGTATCAATATAGAAACCGTCCTAAAACTGAGAATTTTCAAATATCGTACTACACACTACGTACTATCGTACTACAGTACAACATTGGGTTTAAACCTACCTACAGAGTCATTTATCTATCTTAAACTAAGTTATTCTCATAGATGTCTCCTAAACCCAATTTCTTTGACTTCCACCATAATATTAGTGTGTTTATCTAACCTGTATATTAGCACCGGTGACATCGCGGATCTCCTTGATCTTGGAGCCGCCCTTGCCGATGAGCGAGCCGCACTGCGAGGCGGGCACGATGAGACGCAACGTGATCGGCGCGCGGGACCCACCGCCGCCGCCCTCGTTGAACTGCGAGCACCACTGGAACGAAATACTTGAAATTAGATAACTATAAGATGGTTTAAAACTAATAAGTATATAACCTTCTACAGATGGTTAAGACATTCTATTGGCGTTTTGTTTATGATATAAGTTCAATACCCTCCCCTTCCTCTATCTCCCCAATTCCTGAATCCCCAACGATCCTCAAACTCCTAATCCCCAAATGGCGGGTAACGCACTTGAAACGCCTATGGTGTTCCAGGTGTCCATGGGCGACGCTGATTGCTTACTATTAGGTGATCCGTCTGCTCGTTTACCGGCTTATGCCATAAAAAAGTATTAATATAGGGTGAGTGAGAGCAAGTCTAAATGTAGATTTGTATGTTACAAGTCTTGGTTATTGACTTGAATCCGTAACTTACAGCTTAGAAACAGGCGTAAGTGCCCGTGTGATGACTCAACTACAGGTAGTCTAGTTCGCATATAATTAACAATTTCTAAGAAAATATACCACTTAGGACATTAATTGCTAAACATCTTTCATTCTTAATTACAAACCCCGTCGATTGACGAATGTTTCATCACTGGCAGCCAAACCAAGTTTCGAAAACGGCAGACGGATCAAATGTGCCAAAGGAGGTCGATGACCTCTTAGAAAAAATATAGGTAAGTACAAACCTCTTCGAATTTTTTGCATATGAGTGTGAACGCTTTGAATATAGCGCTTGTGTTGCCAGTAACAGTGACAATCCGTTCTGGGCATGATCCATCGGATATGTTGATTTTTGCTCCAGACTGAAAACAATAATAAATTATTAAAGTTAGTAGACCAATGCGAAACACTGATAAGCAGTGTAGTATTGAACATGTTCTGAGCAAATTAAGATAGGTGTAAGTACAAAGAATTTATTCAAGATTACAACTTCATGTACTTTCTCTGTACTGTTACCTAAAACTTTACTTAAATTAATTTTATGCTCTCAAATGAAACTTGTGAAACTCACCTCTTCTCTGAACCTTTTAACAATCTCTCCTTTTTTGCCAATAATACTGCCAACTTCCTGCAAACAAATAGAAACCGTATTAAACTTAGAACAAGTGTTATATGAGATTTAATTAAAATTGTCATCCAAAATAACCAAAGGGACTGGTACATTGGCAAGTATTGTGCAACGGGCGCACGCACATGTAATTAATGCAGTCGCGCTGAGATTTATAGTACAAAAGATTTCCTGTCTGGTATCCAATAATAGTCACTGCATAGAGATTCTTTACTGCAGGCAGACGCATCGGGGTTGCGATGAGACGGTTTTAGAGGCCTGTGGTATCAGATCGGTGCTGGCAAGTGAGCAGCATGACTTCTACAGTATGTGAACAATGCTATTGCTCAACGCCGCCGCTTACACGACACAAATAGCAAACAATATCAAACAAACCCGACGGCCCGAACATCTCTCGCGACGATTGACACTGACCAATTTCACTGCAGATTTATCTATGAATTATTTACTAAGCTTGTCGTAAATAATTGATTGTACATTAAGAATTTGGTTTCACTTTCTGTTTTTAGACGAACTGTAGCGTGATAAAGAGAGCAGGTGAAAACAGAAGTGGGTAGTTCACTCTTGCGTGAATATTGATTGGTGAACATCTTTACAACTTTTTTGAATACCGAAAAATGTATTGTGAAACACTAATCATAAATTAAAGTCAATCATTGGAATGTTTACATAAAAACTAATAATTAGTAAAGAAAATACGGGTGCTAGTCAGCTAGTGAGTGGAACAGAAATACATCGATCTCAGACAGCGATTAAGGAAGTGGGCAGAGACAAACACAATGACAACATTAAATATCACACATTACTCCAATTAGAAAAAGGTACAAATCGAAGTATGATGAACAGGGCGAGTGCCAATAGCTGGCCTGCTGCCAAATGTACTTTGTATTGGATTACAGCCAATTAAAAGTACCTACATGTAAAAGTTGGTATAGGTAGAAGTTAACATCAATACATCTAACATGTCAGTGCAATCTAGCGACATCTAGGTGTGCTAAATTAGTGGAGCGGTTGAGTAATGAGAGCTTAAATAAAACAGTTACGCTGTGATGTGAATTATATAGTGCTAATAAACTAAGTGTTATGTCAAACACATGCAACTTTGATCCTTATTTATGACTCATGAAGAGTTCATTTGACCTGATGCAGTAATAAGGGGTTGTTAGAAATAATAAAATGAAAGCCTAGTTGTTAAGCAAGCCTACATGGTTAAACAGGATATTGCGTTGAGCAGCCCTACAAGTGTGTGTACCCTAACAAGATTGAAATACCAAAGTCATATTAGATTACCATATGTTCAAACAAATATGTACAACTCTTTCACTTAACTCGGGTATTTATTTAAACATAAATATATTTTATAAAAAAAATATGCATACATTTGCCATCTACGAAAACCTTTTATATTTACTATAATAACACATAACATAACATCACGCCTTTTATCCCCGAAGGGGTAGGCAGAGGTGCATTTTATGCCACTGTATAATGTAACACCCACTTTTCACCATTTATGTTATGAGTCCCATGTAATAGGGCGTGAGGCTATTGCCATATACCGGGCACAATTCCAGACTCCGTGCTACTACTGAGAATTTTTTTAAAACCCAGTAATACTTTGCCCGACCCGGGATTCGAACCTGAGACCGGCCCGGCAGTCGCACTTGCGACCACTCGGCCAACGAGGCAGTCAATTTACTATAATAATACTATCAATATACATAAATATGGGCTAATAACTAAGTACAAAAACTGTACTCCAAATAATTTTAATGCATTTTTCTTATCAAACTTTCACAGTAAATCTTGTTTTACCTCACTAGGTATAACAGTAAAGATTATTATTTTCATAAAATTGTTCCATGAAAGAAATGATTAAAATCAATTTGAAATGGTCAACATTCATAATTTTTCTGAGCAATAGAATAGAATAAATACAATAAGAGACCAAAAGAATGAGTTTGTTTAACTTTGTAAGATAATTAAAAAATATTAACATTTACAAGTATACACTATTAAAAAGGCATGAAATTATACAAGCCTTTTAGGTTTGTAAAAAATAATATTCCATTATAAAATGCAATAATTTCTTTTTAATTACCACTAATTATGTTTTAATATTCTTTATCAGTAGGTAAGTTTACCTATGTTTATTTTGGTAACTTAATTATCCATGTTCATTTTAAATTATTGTTCATATGTCAATTTTTATCATTGACTGCCATACACCTAATATTTGTTTATACAACAATGCAAGTTGTGTGAAAACATACAGTATAAATAATAATGTGTCCAAAGCATTTGACCTGAGCCAGTTTGAAAAGGTTTATTGTATCTGTGACATTGAAGTCGAAACAATGATTCATGTGAGAAGTATGTTAATTAGGAAAGCATTAAAAAGCATAGGCAGCGTAAACATTGCATAAAAAATACCACATGTAAACTTGCTTGACTTGATTAAAGTTACTGTTAAAGAATGTAAAAATGAATTAAATATACCACAAAATTACCTCTAAGTATTTCCAGATAATTAGGAAACATTAACTAATAACTAAATTAGTTACACTACTATTACCAAGTCTTTAACTACTTATAGTGGAATTTAGAAGAAGGTAAAGTGTACACTTTCACAATTTTAAAATAATTCAAAATATTATTTTTAATAAAAGAGTGCCAATTTTGTTAAATAATCAAGTGTTCATTCTCTTACCTTCCCCTGCATAATCAGTCTGATAGTGAGGGTAACTTTGGAGTCTTCCTCGTGGAGAGTAGGGGCTTTCTCCAGTTCCATGCTGGAGCAGGTGTCCGTAGTGTCTCGCGGAATTTTGGCTGCGTACAGGGCTACGTGTGGGCACAGGGGACACTCCACTCAATCTAATGGCTGGGACTCTGGGGCTCGTGGCACGCACTGCAGGCAGGGTAAGCTGGAAAACAGGCGCACATCTCAAAAGGAACGTCCATAGGTCTCGAGCGAACTAAAGGTTTAGGGTGTATGGGCACTCGGCGATTTTTAGAAGCGAAGCCGATTACCGAATATTTATTTACAGTGACAGTCGATGGCAAGCGTAACGGAATGAGGACGGCAAATGAGGATCTAGACGCTATTATGAACTAACTGGTCTTAGGTCCGACCGGATTCTGCGGCTGTAACGCGAGGCGGCCCGCTCCGGACGGAGGGACCGTTACTTGAACTCCGATACCTGTTCGCGGCTCGCGACATAACCTCAGCGTCGCGCCTCATGGCTAGCCGACCAGGTTATCGATCCCAGTAATCCCAAACAATTCCCCGACACTTGAGTTTCCACAACTTTCTTACCTCGTTTGTTTTCCACGTTGCAACAATAACTTAACAAATCTTAACACTAATATTATCACCAAGATGTGTATAAAAATCACACTTATCACAATTTACTTTGTCACTTATAATTATAAAATTAAAATAAAACCCGACGGTGACGCGTCGGTGTGAAGCTTGTAATTGTCATAAACAATAGAGGAGAGGGAAAAGCTGACTACAGCGCCTCTAGTGGCGTTGGGGAACCAATTTTGACAGCTGACGTTATTGTCGGTAAAACAGGGTCTCTTCGCACGTTTCGTTTCGATAAAAGTTTGTTGATATTTGTAAATAAAGTTCGTCTTAGTTTGCATTTCTGAAAATTACCTTTATATAACTAAATTAATTATAACATAATAACGAGTTTATCTTGAATCTAAATGATTACTTGCATAAACATTAATTAAATGACGATTGGCGCACCCGTAGTTGCTCGACAACCGGCTGCTACGTGACGGTTCGCGACGCGGGTTCGAATCTGGACGGACGGAACAACTTTTTCAAATATTTTATTTTGCTAATGGGTGTGATAATTTATAAATCAATTTGTTTGTTTGTAAGATAAGCACACTCACGACACCAAATAAGTATTTTATTATTCTTTGTCATAACAGTGGCCTATGTAATTGGAACAAGCCGGTTATTGGCACAATTCCAAACTTGGCTACTACTTTTCAATTGTAAGTTTGAGAAAAGAAAAATTCAATAACATTTCGGTCCGACCTGGCAATCGACTTGAGAATTTAATGTTCAGCTGGGCATACCGCTTACTCCCCATAGACTGAATCTATTTCAAAATTAGTCAAAGGTGAAGATAATCTTATTTTATTAAAGAGAGAAAGTAAAGTTATAGGTAAGCGTATGTGGAGACATCAATTTAGGAGAGGTCCTCAGATGTGCAGACGGGTCATCTGATGGTAAGCAAACGGCGCGCTGCGCCACCCATGGATACCACCAATACCACAGGTACTAGAGGCCAGTGTGTTGCCAGTCTTTGGAGATGAGGCGTGGCAGTCCGGAAATCTCGTACGAGGGGAAGGCTATAAGGGATATGGTGGATATGACGAACCATGCACACGCACAGTGAAACACAACGCAAGTGGGCGTGTTGATTCTTCGTCATAGTTGACAGAAGTGCAATTGGTGGTTATCAGTCACGGTCTGTATGCTTGCACTTTTAACCCACATTACTGGACAGTGGATGAATGTTGAAAGGAAAGTTTCTTTCAACTTGTCATTTAGTACCGATAATACCTAATTACCAACTAGGAAGTCATAGGCTCGATAATCACACAGAATAATACTGGTTTGTCTGTTAACTGTTAGTAGAAAAGCTTAGATTGCTGGTCAAAATGTTGCCATCTCACTTGACGTGCGAATGTGTCTATGGGCGGTTATCCGGACTCTTTGGCAGCGTGTCTAAGACCTAACCTAACACGTTTTACAGTGTCACCGTAGGTAGTGACATCTATACATCGTAGTTTCACCCTGAGACTGCTACGTTCATTGACACTGGTTGGCACACACTGAAATGCCACGCTTGGCCGGCGAATTGATTTCAAAATGTTTTGTTTCTTTATTTATCAAGTGTTATTTATTATTAGTTGGCTATAATTAATTTTGATCTTTGAGTAGCGAACGTTAGGTATCTACTACCTACCTACAATATCGTGGGTGGTGATTAGATATTATAGCAGCCTGATAATTAATTTCCAATGTTGAAAAAATCTAAGTTTTAGTTAGTATACTTAAGTACATACTTAGTTATGTATCTAGGTATATAACATACCATTGAAAATATATTACGTAAGATAATCCGTTTAACTAGGTACCTGAACACGACAAGCAAAGAACGATATCCTCAGAGAGACGAAGTATAAACAATAGAAAGCGGATGGATAACTTTAACTTTATTCTATTCGTAATTCCCACCTTTCTAGAAAGATATTAAAACATTGAGTGAATAAAATGCTTTAAGGTTTTTTGAAGAGAGGTTTAACAAAAATAAGAAAAAAAAATTGTCTCTGGTCTCCGCACGCCAATATTGAAGTTGAATGCTTTGTCCCATGCAAATTCGTTCCCCGTTTATTGTCAGTCGCCGGGATATTTCCTGAGGTAAACTGCACATCAACATACCTACTAACAGTACACTAGATAGACTAGACTAGTTTAGAAAAAACTTTATTAAAATGATGAATTCAGTGCCATTGATGAGTATTTTTACGTAGGTACCTAATTAGTAAGCGTAGTGACAGCATATCCGTTAGTGGTAGAAAATAAAAGTATTTTACAAAACGTAAACAGTTTTTAGTCTCTTAGATTCACAGTTCACAGGTAGCTATCCTGGAACAACAATTTGTGGATTACACAAAGAGTTCTTTACACGTTACACAGCAAACAGTTGCCCAGCTCTACTAGCTGGGCAACTGTTTGCTTGTTGCTTGTGTAGTGCCGTAGGGCAACCATGCAGGCAGTGCAACAATAAGTATATCGAATTGGTATAAAAAAATCAGCAATCTTATTTTGCACACCTAGTCTAACTTAATAGTAAATGGAAAAAGTGAGCTCACCTACTTTATCCGCTCATCCAGCCTAAAAGGGCGACCTATCTATATTCATGCAAGTGACTTAAATAACAATTTCCTTTGTTTATAAGAGATTGACGAGAGAATTAAGTAAAGTAGACCCCGACTAACCCTTGAAAGGCTGGATGAAAAACTTTAAGTGGAATATAAGTGGACAAACAGTCTTCGATTATAGAACTGAGGAAAATGCTCACAAGTTTACCGGGATATAAAAGAGTGAGATTGAAAAGGTTTTAATTGAAATCGCTCTGGGGTTATGAAGAGTCTTTGCTTTGTAAAAAGTCCTACCTACTTACTTATTGAACACATTGCGATCGGGTATTCTTGCCTCATGTTGAGGATCTCTGAGTTCTGTTAAAGCCAGTGTATTATTACAGTGAAAACAAAAATAAAAATGTCAGTTTTTTTTTTAGAGGTAGTTAGGTACTACTTACTTACTGCTTCCTTTAATTATCAAGCATACAAATAATAAAAATGATCGGTGACAAATTGATTAGGTTATGCTAAATATTATAAATAATTGTCGTCTTTTGGCTGGGTCTATGGCTCGAGCCCTCACCAGGAATTTACTATTAAGTAGGTACCACGTTCAACAGAGGAAATAGAGTTTCTTTTAATCTGATAAATATTATCGGAAAATTATGTACAAAATGTTTCAATTCAGTTAATTTCAACTGAGTTCAAAGTAGGTACCACAACTTGCTTCGATGAACGACTTTTTGATTGCTTGCAACACCTCACGAAAGATATTTTTTCAATTACCGAAATGTTGCCAGTTTGTAATTCTCTTTTTGATTGAACATGTTTGGTTCTTTTTTTAAACGAAATAACATACGATTCGGAAATTATGTTGGATATGCACAAATTGAACCATTGCTGTTTGTTTTATTGAAAAAATATTGGCGAAAAAAGAGAAATCTATGGTGACTAAAATTCAAAGTCACTACGAATGAAGCATCTTAAATATTTTTCCTGGTGCTAGACACTAGGTGCGTGTTATAGTGTACTATTTATTATTTAAAGTCCAAGGCGTAGCAAAGATGTTTGCAATTTCACTCTTCGATTTCTACCTTACTGTGATTATTGATAAGGAAGAGCCAATTTACAAGCCTTTTATCTTTTCCCTTTAAAATTGACCAAAGTATAGAAGATGCAGTGGTAAATTATTTATATTTTTTCTTTTGTGTACCTTACTTATTGGCACCCTAGTACAAGTACCTGTGGCGGAGAACTTACCGGGTAACCGGGGCTCCGGCTCGACGTGCAGGAGAAGGAACGGGATGGTTTTTAGTCAGTAAGAGTCTGACACTCCCTCCCGCCTCACCCAGGCGGGAGGTGTCATTTAATGATTTTCCCCCCTTAAAAAAAAGTACAAGTACCTCCTTTTCCTACCTACCTACAAAAAAATTCTTTATTTAGAAACATCTTCTAATTAACGCAACTATCTAAATAATAAACCAGCGACCATTTTCATTCATATAATAGACGAGTCCTTATTTATTTGTCTCTTTATTTCCGCAGTATAAAGATTAAGAACAGGGAAAAAATAGAGAGCGTTCTCGCGAAGATTCCCAACACTAATGGACTGCTTTATCCCTTGTTTGTACATTGTAGGATGACAAGCGTAGTGCTGCACCTAACGAATGCTTCGCTTTTACTCACTACACCCTGCCTTGCTTCACTTTTCCCCGCTTCTCCCCGCTTGCTTCGCTACACTCCGCTGGGTATGATTCAACCAAACGTTTGTAGAATATGCTTTTGCGCGATGAAAATAATAAAAGAAATAGTTTAATGACTTCCTTGCGTTCTGTCTCTTTTGATGTTAAAAACTTGGAGTGTCTCTTCATGTTTGTACAGTTTTTACTTAGTTATGTATTACGTAGGTTTTATAAATGTTCGTAATTAGGTAAATATTGATAGATAAAGCGTAACTTATGTACCTCAAAAAGTATATCTCATTATCTCCCATTAAAGTATAGGTAGGTCACAGTGTTCTCAAATAACGAATTAGTCAAGATAGATCGCAGCTGATCGTATATTATAATGAAATATGAAAAGTAATGGATCGCACGTCACAGGGGCACATAATCTCATGACAACGGTCACAGCCGTGGCCAACAATTTATTTACAACGAAATTCTCACATGACATCGTTGTGACGCTGAGAGCCGGGAGCCGAGAGCCGACGAGCCGAATCGTCCTCTCGACCCGACGTTTAATTTTAATGATGATTTTGCGTGGTAGGTATGTACATCCCTCGGTATTTTCGGTTATTTTTAAATGTTCTCTTATTGGAAAACCTTTATGCGTATGTGATATCAAAATAAAAGTGAATGTTTTGTATGGCTTTACTACGGATTTTTGAACGCATATGTATTAAATGTTTTCAGGTTTGATATTACTGGGACTTTTTTCTACGGACGGCTGTTTTGGCTGTTAAGTATTAAGTGATATTTCCTTTTTTGTTTTAAACGACTATTTTTCTATTTTCAGTTCATTCTGCCATCTCTTTGAATTGTCCATGTATTCTTTAATTGTGTTGCATTCCCACTCATACATTGCATCTGATTGAATAAGTATCTAATATGTTTTCTAAATAGTCCGCTAGGTAATGTATGGTATCCCAAACAAAGCGAGAAAGAGTTTACAGGCCTACGATTAAGCCTGGCATGGAAGGCTTAGTAGTATCAAATAGGATCAATCCCTTTACACCCGTT